TAACCCATTCTGCTGCCGACCAGTTCACTGCTGGATAACTTCACAGAATTCGAAGCAGGCGAAGGGGGCGTATACAGTCTGGTTCTTGAAGCTGTTGTGTAGCCAAAGTGTAGGAATTTTTTCCCACCAAGAGACTTTATCTAACAGTACAGATCTAACAATGGATCATTAAACTGCACAGATACATGAAAGCCCTCAGCAAAAGTCAAATACACACGTTCAACATAAGGGAAAATCCAATATTTCCAAACATAACGAACAAAGTGATGGAGAGCAACTCCATTAAATAAATATTCAAGAGCGATTGCTTCATGATGACGTACTGGGTCGTCTGGACGGGCGGCCTTGAAGGAGGTGGTGGAGGAGGGAACTGTCCAGAGCTTGGCGGCGGTGCCGCAGAGTTGAAACGCGGCGGCGGCGGAGGCATACCGGGTGGGAACCTTGGAGGTGGAGGCATCATTCCTGGAGGTGGAGGTCCTGGAGGCGCAGGAGGTCCTGGTGGTGGGGGTCCTGGAGGACCTGGTGGACCTGGCGGACCAGGAGGCGGCATCGAACCAGGTGGCGGAGGTGGCACGAAGGATGTTCCACGTGAAGGAGGAGGTGGAGGTGGAGTTGGCATTGTTGGCGTTTGGGTAGGTGGCGGTGGCGGCATGCTCCACTGAGCTCCTCCAGCTCCATTTCACGGTACTACCTCGCCTTCTAGCTATAGAGCGACCAAAAGCATCGCACCTTCACTGTGAAGGATTGGTTTCGACAGCATGGCGCGCTTTCAACGAAGGGAACAATTCACACCAATGTCCCGAGCGCCATCGAAACATTATGGGAAAGAGTAGGGATACCTTTGGTGGAAATAAGAGCCGGGAATATGGGCGAGAAACTCGTCAAATTTCAAGAGAAGTGGAGGAAGCTGCCCTAGTAGACAGTGCATTCAATGACTGATTCCTTACTTAGGCCTTGTTAAGATTTCAGCGACCCAGAAGATTATTAACAAAGTATTGGACCTGCTCAGTGTTATTCATCATGCGTAAGATTGTTTTGTTGAATTGTAAGCTTGCTAGAGTAATTTGAAACTTACTTGGAATTTGCTCATAATTTCTAGTGAAATGATTTTTTCCATTCTTAATTCTTTCTCCCATTTAAAGCAAATATGCCATTTAAGTGAAGAACCCTTCCCTTAAAACATATTAAAATTTGAACTGATTTGATTCAGCAGAAAAAAGTTACAGTCGAAAAAGTATTCCGGCGAAGACTTTTGACCGCTACTGTATGTACATAGTTGAACACTTGGTCAAGTATGGGGATTAAAATACGGAGACATAACGTCAGGCCGGTGAGGCCTCCGTGTTTTAAATGCCCTGTTGGCAAATCGGGTATTCCACTGCAATGCATTTCATTACTTGTTTATACGACGAGGCACACAACTTTTTTGATTATGATGAAAAGTTGTGTGCTTACAAGCTTCGCTGTACCCCTACGATATTTTGTAATATTGGTGACATTTCATCTCGGGTCCATCATAAAGCATTGACGTTGTAGTAGAGTTATGGGGAAGATTGACGATCAAGCATACGAAGGAACGAAGACGTAGGAAATATGGGAGCATGTCTGAACTGCGAAGCAATAAAACTCTTGATGAGAGCGCGCTTTTGACAACCTCACGTCTGGCATCACTCATCTTCCCTGTCATAGCAACGTGACTACCGTGCGGGTAGTCTCTGACGTAGCACACAAATGCGTGACACCGAACGATTATTTTGTCTATTGTATTATTTCTTTTTAGTACAATCATTGTATGCACACTCTGAATCTGTAAACTCAGGAACTAACTTTTCACTCCATGCTTTTTGCGGAAGGTAGCTTAGTTTATGTTTCAATCATAGGGGAGATTGCTAATGGCTGGTCAAAGTACTCTGAGAACAGCCAAAAATTCATCAGCGTGTGGAAAGGTTCTGCTACTCCAATATTCTGCTTCAGACTGCTCTGCGCGCAATCTCTCGTGAGTTTTAGCTGCGCGCGTCTCACAATCAGTTGCGGAAGTAAGCTGACGGCATGTCGACGGAAATGCCCGATGCCTTATCTACGAGAGCACTGTCCATATGTTGCTACATTGTTTCGCCAGAAAATTGTCGAACCCGGGAAGTGCTATCTAATCCTCTTTATTAGCAGGACCAAGCTGTTTTGTTGCACATATGGTACAGACAATATTATTGTGCCATATATGAATTCTCTTGTAATGAAAACACGAGCTTCTGAAGAAGTGAAGATCAGATTTTACTGAGGACATTTCCCTCGACCCATTATCATTTACAAGAATGCCCAATATCCTTGACTCGTTAAAAAGTAACCAATGAATCGAGTTACATTGAGCGATGGAAACACGGCTGTGCCAGATCTCTGAAACGAAAGCTATTTCTTTATAATTTCAACGCCCTGATAGAATGTTCACCTATCATATCAACAAAGGAATATGAGGGGAGGCGACGTTAGTGCAAAAGAGACTTCGCCTCAATATGTATGATCAAGATAATAAATCTATTCCTTCATTTTCATTTATTTCCTAATCGGAGGAAATCTACCATCATGAGGGAAAACCTCCCTACCAACCAGACGATTTCGATTTTCTTGGGTATCAAAATGAACCATGTAATTCCTTGCTGCTCTTCCATCTTATTTTATGAAATTGGCTGACAGTCGTGAATTTTTCTTCTTCATTATGATGATAGACTTTAGGATTGTTCTGCCCCGAAGTCTCATGTTGATCTAAATGTGTAATAAACAATGTGAGACTTCAATTATTTATTGCAAAAGACTCTAAAGCTTTTACAAAAGAATTGCAAAAGTGTGAGTGCAAAAGTTTTGCAAAAGTTAGGTCTTTTTGGCGAGCTTTCGGCGCTTAGCGCCTTTGTCAAGCCTGAGATGAAATGAATGGGAGTAGGCGCGGGCCGCTTCTTGGATACCTTTTGAAACGCCGAGAAAACCTTCACTGCTGAAGTTCTCCCAACAGACAAAATCATCAACAACTGTTTTCTCAAGAAGGGCTCCAGAAAACAAATTTCAGAACCGGAAGCCTGTTCCTGAAGCCGTGATGTTTGGGTGGAGATAACATCAAGAGGTGAAGACATGTTGCTTCTGCAGAAACAAATATTGAAATAAGCTCTGAAATGTATCAGAATGTTACACTGATGGATACTCCGACGCCATGGGTTCTAAAACACTTTACCGGATGGAACTTTGTTCTGATGCAGGACTTAGCATCACACCATGGACCAAAGTCAACGATTTCCTCTGGCCAGCGTCACCTCCATGGATTCTGGGATATGAATATGTATTCAACAATCTCTCCACTTAATCAAGTGAACGTCGCGTGTATACTTATAATCAAAACTCGTACGTTTTTAAGGGCGCTTATAGCTAGTGCTTAGGTCGGAATGAAGACTATGATTGATGTCTAATTACCGCCGGCCCCACTAAGAGGACGCTGTAAGTTTGTATGTTGGATTTTTCGAATATTACTCACATGGATGTCCTGTAATTCTGTCCCTGTTCTACCACGTAAAGTATCTCTAGAAAATTTGCGCAGGCATTTATAACGATTAATCACTGGCATTTGAAGCTTTCCACAGCACCCCTATCAATAGAAGGACCGCGTGATTGCTACTTGTGGATAAACTGCAGTCAGTCGCTTTATTCAAATTCGGCACAATAAAAACGCATTCAGGATCCATCAAATGGGCGGTCATTGTGAACATTCGATCACAGAAAGAAATTTGATTGGATGTTACTAGGACACAAGTGGAAGGTCCATCATCAGTTAAGCAAGTGGTTTTAAGTAAGTTTGTCGCATTATTCATGGGTCAGCCTCACACACATCTGCGACTTCCAACGCCAGAAAGCATTTCTAGATGACAGTCAGCAAACGCTTAACTCAAGATGAACAAATTCACCAAAGGCAAACTCCAGGATTAACCCTTTCCGGACAGCGCACTTTTATGCTGGGTCACGGCGCCATGTGCTTGAGTTGGCAAGCTAATATCTCCATATATTTCAATCTGTATTCCCACTAAAGCCATTATTTTGTTCTAAATGTATATTAAACAATGTGAGACTTCAAAATTTATTGCAAAAGACTTTTTTTTTTGTTTTTTTTCTTATTTTTTTGATTTTTTTTTCGATTGGTTTTTTTGAATTTTTTTTTTTTTTTTTTTGACATTTTAAAGAAAAATTTTTGAATGTCTGACATTGATTTAATATACATTTTAGGATCGACATGAGACTTCGAGGACAGAAACAATTCTAAGGTATAGCCATTATTTTGTCTCGTTTATGTCTTTGTCATGTCTCGAAGAATATATAAGATTAATTTGACAGAAAACTGTTTTGCAAAAAAAGGGAAAGGGCCATAAAAAGGGAGGAAGGGACGAAAATTGTTCAAAATAAGTTGGTATGGAGAAAAAGGGAGTAGAACGTGCCCAAAACGATTGGATCCATAAGAATCAGATACGACGAGCAGGATATTTCACAAATTCTTCGTTTTTAAGTGTTTTCAAGCGAACTACAACTGTTTTCTTTGAGCCCAAAGTGGAAGTCCATTTACTCTTTGGTTATTTTAGAACCTAGATTAAACCTAAAGTCTAGGTTTTTTCATACATATGGCATGAGTCTGTTACATAGGTATGTAACAACATAAAATATTTTATCGAAAAACCAAACTCTTGGAAAAATCAGCTCTTGAAGTTCCTGACACACCATGTGTGTCAGGCGGTCCGGAAAGGGTTAAACAGGTGTACAGCTCTTTGTAAGTGGATAAGCTTAGCTGCGAAAGGACCTGAAAGTGGAAAGGAAAAGCAAGAGAAATCCTTGGGAACGCTGCAATTAAGGCCTTAACCTTCAATAGGGTCGGATGTGGTACGATGGCGAGAAAAGGGCGGTCAAAGAAGACAAAATACGCGAGAGAGCACGTCGTTTGAGAGAGCACGCTGATCTCTCATCAATGCACGCTGATCTCACCACCTCTGGCGTCGTCGGGTGGAATGCGTTGGAAGGGAGTCGATGGTTGTGGGCCCGTAAGGATTAGCAC